GACATTCGATGGAATAATCGACAGAATACTCAATTACTAAAATAATCGATAGTTTCAGCACTAATGTGACGCACTCTACACAAATGTATGAACACCAAAATATCTTTGAACATTGAGACAGGAATAAAGACAGTGAGTCACCAGTTAATCTGGTGAGTGCTGTTGTTTCATCTCCTTCTGTATTTGTGTACTAAGCACTATGTCGTGATGTCTGCATTGCATAAGTGTTGTGTTTGAGTGCGGACTGGACGTGTGTGTTTCTACATACGGTGTCCAAAGCCTGGGGAAGGCGTCGACCTCCTTCTCTGTGTACTCGTTGAGTTTCCTGGGGATCTTTCTAGGCTGAGGCAGTTCCTCCGTCAGATTGGCTCGGATGTCCTCTGGGAGCTCCTAGTGAGGGGTGGAGAGAGGAGGCGGGACACCAGATTAAAGAAGAAAGAAATGAAAATGGATGAAATAAAGAATCAAAAGGAGGTGACATAAAGAAGTTACGATTTACGCCATTAATAGAAGCAGTTAAATATTCTACTCAGTCCATCACTCTCCAAGGTTCCCAGATAGTCACTCTCATTAATATTCATTAACGGTGTGTGTGTGTCGATGGATTAATTAAGGAGGGGGCAAACAGTTCCGGATAAAAGACTAAAAGTTTCAAGAATACTTTTACACCATCCATTACACCAACGAAGTTTGACACTGGTGATTCTTGCCATGCAACTTTAAAATAATCAAGATTTAATGCTACAGAGTAACAAAAGTCTATAAACTACAGAGACCTTATTCACTTGGACAATGACCTTTTAACTAAGGTAGTAAGAGGAGAAGGTTCGACAGCAACACACTTTGAGAAATACCTAAAAAAAAAAATCGCACTTTTAAATCCAGTCAAAGCTGTATTCAGAGATTTGGCTTTTTGAGGAAAACGGTACAACCATGATGCAGAAAATAAAAGACAACATTGACAGAAACCAGCTGATTTGTTACAATCAGTCAGAAAGCAACATTAGCTTTCATTTGTCGTCATGTTTCTCTCATACAAGTCCTGTTAGTTTTTTCCTCTCTATCAATTCCTCAAAAAATGTCTGTCTCTTTAGCAGCTAAAAGCTCCACTATTGTCATTTGTCATCTGGTGATGATCACGTAATGCGTGGCTAGTTTATCAGAGCTCGCTGAAAACAGCTGCCTGCAGCATCTGGACACAAAGATGATTAGAGCAGTGAGAGGGAACCACATCTGTAAACTGTGACTTCTGAACACAAACAATGAGCTGAAAGATTCCAAAAAGCTTGGTGGAGCTGATGGGAACTGATGAGTCAGCTTATAACTCTATGTTTTATCACCAAAAATGAACATGACACAGTTATATTTGTTAATATAAAAGAAAGGTTCATCTCTAAGTTATGGGAAACACTGAGTGAGCGGTCGCTGAATTGTCCTGCAGTTAAAACAGCCACACCAGATGGGAAAACAAAAATAAAGAAACCAGCTTATACTCTACTACAGCAAAAATAGAAATCATGTTGGACATAATCGTCTATATAAGTGTATATTAAATATCTGATATTAACTATAAAGGTGAAGCAACTGAAATAAAGAAAACCTTGACATGGGAGAGAGTTGGGAACACAAGATAAAACTTGGCTCATCTGTTTGAGTCTATTTCAGTGAAATAACATTAATGCATTTTATGTGTATTATTACATATAATAAGCCTGGATGTTTAATTTATGAGATAATTTTCTGTACACCTCAGTTCTAAGACACACAAAAGAAACTGGACTTACATCTTCAGTAAAGATGTGTAGTCGCTGCATCATGGTGCGACGGTGTAGATTCTTAGGCAGCATGCCGTAAACTGCCAACTTCACAATCTGGTGAGAAGAAGCACATTGAAAAGTATAGCACACAGTCAATTCCACCGTTTCTCGTAAAACAGTGTCTGCGGCAACCTCACACAAGTTCTCCTGTATTTTTCCAGTTTGTTTCTCAGTATGAGGCTGGCTGCTAAGATGTGAAATTTAACTTGGACTGAGTTACTGGACTGAGCTATTGTTGGGCAGATAATATGTTGGACAGAGATGCTGGACAGAGATGCTGGACAGAGACAGCACTAACAAATCCTTCATCTGTCAAATTCCATTTCTCACTCCAACCCTCCACAACTCACTTTAACTTAACCACCCCCAGGATACATGTCTGTGGTCAGAGGCTGGACTTCAACCTGCAGCAGCTAAGAGCCAACAGCAGAGTGCACGTCTTTCCTGGTTTAATGAAATACAGATCGGGAACCAGTTCAGGTCATTCAGCTACTTTTACTGGTTCCAATGTAAGGGGAGCAACTTTCTGGTATTTTTGTTTTTTTTAGCCCGCACAAGTTGAAAAAGAAAAAGCTAAAATTCTAAAATGACCTGCTGTACAGTTCTTATTTTTTTGTTACAGTTAACATGTTAAAATGATTCTTAATTGGGAATTGATAAAATTGTATTAATCCCAACACTATTATTGATTCTGCCGATCAGTCTAATTCTTGATTCCCTTAAAGAGACCCAAACAATGTTTTGTACGGACAAAGGATGCTCGTGTTTAATTAACTCCGCCAATGAGGTTATGTTTTCGCCCCAGTCCATTTGTTTGTTGCTTTCACAAAACTTGGTGAAATGATGCAGCATGGTCGGGGAAGAGCACATTCAATTTTCAGATCCAGATCAGGTGACACATCTAGGGTTTTTAACATTGAATGAGAAGAGTGTTCATTGTTTTTGAACTGAATTGTTTTCACCCCGTCCATTTGTTTGTTAGTCTTTATGTTTGATTGTAAGATAAATTATACAAAAACAACAGAATGGAGATCCACGAAACTTAGAGGAAGGATGTGGTGTGGGTCAGGAAAGATGCCAGTAAATAGGGGGTGGATCCAGGAATTTGTTTCCACACTTTCTTTAATATTTCGCAATTTTTTTATTTTTCAACATTTTCCTTGAGAATAATTCATGGATCTTGAAGTAACTCAGGCACATTTAGAGATGTGATATTTGGTGCAGCCTCATTGAATTTAAGATGACTGTTTGGTGAAGGTATGCACTTCTAGTGAGTGCCATTCCAGTAATCTCTTAGGATGATGATATTATCATGATATTGGATATATATCAAAGTGGTTTACCAGATAGTTTTTAGTTCACATCCAGTTCTAAATTTAGATTTATCTGTGTGTAATAAGTCAAACACAGCGAACCCCAAAACTGCAAATATGCAACAAACTAAAACCGCAGGAATTATCCCTGAGCTGACATTCTCATACTGAGTTTCACCAAACACCAACGTCTCTACTGTAAATCCACAGCTGTTTAATCCCTGTCCTCTGCACTTCACATTAACGTGCACCAGCAGCACATACAGTATGAAGGAAGGGATAACTGTCAAACCATGACGTGCCTACTCTGCACAGCGTGTGGCAGACACAGAAATTATACTAATCTCCAAGAATGTGGGTTAAAATCCTACACACAATAGAACAGAAATCCACAGTGTACAGGGGGGAGGCTGTGGCATTTCTGTGATTTTGCTATATTTTCTGAAAGTAAGAAACCAATGATGGAAACTTACAGCTTGTGGGTCTTTTTGATGCAACTGAGCAGCTGTGAGTTGTTTGAATCCACCTGGATACCTTGAGAACAAAAAAGAGAGTCCCTGTTTTGTTAACTAACACACTCTATTCCACTTACAGTAATTATATATGCTTGTATGTAAAAATAAAAGCATGCAGATACCAGACATTATGTAGAATACGTTTCTCTACTAAACACAATTAATTTAAAGGTACAATGTGTAGAACTGAGTGATATCTTGAGGTGAAGTTGCATGTTGCAGCTGGACACTCGTCATCTCTCTCACCCCCCTTGTAAAGTGTCTTGTAAAATAAAAAGAGAAAAAGGGAAGAATAAAAACATGGGGACTCACCCTGTGTGTGACGAGTAAACTTTCTGCTCCCATTTGTTTCCAGAGAAAGCTATGTGTTTGGTGTTAATTACTACTACATGGTCTCCACAGTCACCTGCAAAGATGATCGAGGTCACCGTAATGTTAGAAATCATACGATACTCAACAGTGTTTTAACAGACAGAGCTGGACTACCAATGATATATGACACAGGAGCTAATTTTTAGTTCAGTAAATACTCATCTTCCAGAAAACAGAGATTATTATGGTACATACAATATTTAATTAAGACATTGTGAGAAAAAGCTGACATATTTTGAAGGTTGATCCTCTGCTGCCACCATGTGGCCACTCCATGCCAGAACTTTACACTGAGATGGGGGGGTGGGTGGGTGGGGCAGCTGTTACTTACTGAGTGCATGGTAGATAGGTTTGTGTTTGCCCTGTAATCGCACAGAACACATTGTTGCGATCTTGCCAGGAGGCTGCATCTTGGCATCGATTACGAACCAGGAGCGGGCAAAGGTTGCCCATTGCTGAAAGCAGAAAGTGATAAGGAATTAGATTAAATAAAACCAACCCTAAGAAATGATTTGCAATCGGACAATCTGATTTACAGAACATACTAAACACCTCCATCACCAGCACAAATTCACTGTCAATCCCTGTTTGTGGAAGATGCAGAAACTGAAGTCTAACCTAAGTTAGAACACACAGTAGAAATTCATAGTGTGTCTATTTGCAATTTATTGTATGTAACAAGCCAAACTATTTCGATTTGTATTAATAAATTATCTTAAAACTACAATCTAGTCCAAAAGGTGGGACCATAAATCTAGTATGTTCCACCTCAAATACCAATCTCATACATTATTATGTTTTAGATCATAACAACATGGAGTCAGTGTGAGTTTGAGAGAAGAGACAGAACAAGTGAAACTGAAGGAACAAGAACCAGTGTGTAAAGTGAACCTGGGAGAATCAATGCAGTTATAAAGGATGGTCACACGAAAGAAATGAATACAATGGTGATTTGATTTCGGTTTTCGTTCTGTTTACATTGATGATTAAAAACTTCATAATATGACTCTTCTTCTTTATATTTAGTGCCTAAAACTGATTTTTAATATTTATTTTTTCTGTGTAATTTAGTGGCAGCCAGTTAACTGCACCATCATGTCCAAACCTGAGCCATTTAAGATAAACACACAGGTCTGAAAGGTTTGAGACTAAAGAAAGGGTCAATAACTAATCCCACAATATCCCATAACAACGATTCACGTAGGAATAACACTATATAACGTTAACGTTTACATAAACTAACCATGTGTACTACTGGGTGCACGGTTATGACGTCTCGTTAGCAGCGCTAGCTAACAGTGTGGCTATCGGCCAGCATGACATTACACACACGTAACGCTTAAACCGTGAGTTGACAATAAGATCAAATCCATCATAGTGCATTAAATCACCTGAGCAGATCTGGAGAAACTTGACATGTCGACGACTCTATCGGCTCATTCTCAAAATATTTGACCCTCAATGAGAGTGGCGGTCCGCTCGGTAAAATTGTTCGCGTCGAAACACTTCTTAGCGAATTTTCCGGTCCTACGTTGCAGCTTTATCGTGTGATGAAACTTACTGACATTTCTTGTGAAATATATTTCCTGTCTCTGCATCGACCCATGCAACATCCATCCATGACGTTTAAAAAATATATATTCAAATCGTTTTTGCAATTACCTAAAGTCTGTTGAACAGTAGTTTCTACCCGGAGCTATTTTGAAATCGCGCTATGACGTAACTACCGCTTCCTGCCTCCGACAGAAAGAGAGCGGGGAAATTTGACAATCACCGACAACAGCGACACAGATACATTAGACCCCTGTTGTTTTCTTCTCCGGTAGAAAACACACAGGTCCACAGAGTTTATTTTCCTCAACATTGTTATTCCCGCGTGTCGTCTGAGCGGAACATGAGAAGTTTAGAGGAGGTGCAGGCCACGCTGCAGATCGCCAAACTGAAAGAAGACGATCTACAGAAAACCGTCCACTGTCTGTCTTTTGGAGAGAATGTCTCCTCTTCAGATTACTGCCTGGTGGAGCTGGACGAGACGCTGTATAAACACATCGAGGCTGGACAAAGGTAAACTAGTGATGGTGGGAATTCAGTCAGGAAACACTGGTCCTCTGATCAGTGTCATGACTGATTAAGCTACAGCTGCTGAATCTCTTCAATCTCTAAAATACAAAGAAAATACGCGTCTCAAGTGCTCAAAAGCTTAAAGATATATCTTCTACATACTTAGTTAATATGA